GCAGAAGTAAAGGTGGCAATACCATAACTTGCCATCTTTATTTCGGCACTGCTGCTGCTGGCAGCAGCTCTGCCTTCAGAGATGGCCTCCCAGCCAGCAGCCACCGCTCTCCAGCTCTGAAGACAGTACCACTGCCAGCAGCAGCACAGAAGTAAGGGTAGCAGTACTGCAACCCCCACTACAATAACCTGTGACCCCCTACACACACCCCACTCCTTTTTGGGTCAGGACCCCTACAATTACAACACTGTGAAATTTCAGATTTAAATACCTGAAATCATGAAATTTACTATTTTTTAAATCCTATGACCGTGAAATTGACCAAAATGGACCGTGAATTTGGTAGGGCTCTAGTCACATATCAGACTTTAAAATCATTACTTTTTTTATTTGCAGAAAAGCTGTCTCAGATCCAAAACTGTAACTCTCCTATTCCTGCGTCTCTGACAAATGGGGGAGAGGAGGGGAACAGGAAGAGAGAAAACATTTCTGGAATGGAATTTTTTTTTTTTTTTAAATGTCTTTTGCTCAAAAACTAAGAACGCTCAAGTGAGTGCCAGGGGAGATGGGCAGTGACACTGTCAAATGTTCAAGGATACAAGATCAATTATGGAAAATAATTCATCACATGGATATGACCTCTACATACATGATGTGCAAATTTTATCTAGGCACCAGTGGTGATGCTAAAATTAAGGTTGTGACAAGATATGTACTTGTGATTCAATTCAGTCTCCACATTGGCACAATCATTTTTCAGATAACTGTTCTGCTCAGCCTTTCTGCCAGTCTCTGAGCCTCTCCCCATCTATTCCCTATCCACAATTGTTAAAACACAAAGAAGAGCCCCATTCAGACTGATATGATCAGGTATGTCCCTCTAGCAAACCACAGAAGGTTCACTAACGGCAGTAGCCAACTGGAGTGGTGCTTTCCCCACACCCAAGGCATCTCAAGTAGCTAGTCTCCCTCTCCTACCATAAAATGATAGAAGCGTAGGACTGGAAAGGACCTTGAGGTCATCTAGTCCAGTCCCCTGCACTCAAGGCAGAACTATGTAATAACTAGACCATTCCTGACAGGTGTTTGTCTAACCTGCTCTTAAAAACCTCCAATGATGAAGATTCCACCACCTCCTTAGGCAAGTTATTCCTGTGCTTAACCACCCTGACAGTTAACAAGATTTTTCCTAATGTCCAACCTAAACCTCCCTTGCTGCAATTTAAGCCCATTGCTTCTTGCCCTACCCTCAGAGGTTAAAGAGTACAATTTTTCTCCCTCTTCCTTGTAACAACCTTTTATGTACCTGAAAACTGTTATCGTGTTCCCCTCTCTCCCCCCAGTCTTCTCTTCTCCACACTAAACAAACCCAATTTTTTCAATCTTCCCTCATAGGTCATGTTTTCCAGATCTTTAATAATTTTTGTTGTTCTCCTCTGGACTTCCTCCAGTTTGTCCACATCTTTCCTGAAATGTGGCGCCCAGCATTGGACACAATACTCCAGCTGAGGCTTTATCTGCAGGGAGTTGAGCGGAAGAATTACTCTCATGTCTTGCTTACAACACTCCTACTAATACATCCCAGAATGTTTGCTTTTTTTTGCAATAGTGTTACACTGTTGACTCATATTTAGCTTATGATCCACTATAACCCCCAGATCCCTTTCCACAGTACCTCTTCCTAGGGAGTCATTTCTCATTTTGTACGTGTGCAAATGATTGTTCCTTCCTAAGTGGAGTACGCTGCATCTGTTCTTATTGAATTTCATCCTATTTATAGAGCCTTGCGTGGATACAAATTTATACCTGCAGATATAAATCGGTATCCGTAGGGCTATCCCAGGAAACATGGCGGCGAAAGGAGTAGAACATAGGGCCGCCGCTCCCAAGAGCCAGCGCCGGCTCCGGCAGTTCCTCCAGCGTGGCTGTACCGACCCCAAACCCGCCCACCAGGGCGGGAACCAGGCTCACTGGCAGCTGTCCTTGGTCGCGCTCCTGTGTTCAAGCAGCACGTACGTTCCCAGACAGGAGATGCAGAGAGCTGCGTGGAAGGGACAGGGGCAGGGCTGGGGATGGTACAGCAGTGCAGGAGGAACTGCCACATGGGGCGCTAGCTCCTAGGAGCAGCGGCCCCAGCTCCTAGGAGCAGCGGCCCCATGCTTTGCTCCTTTCGCCACTGCGATATCTGGGACAGCCCTGCAGTTCCACGGATATAAATTTGTATCCATGCAAGGCTCTGCCTATTTACTTCAAACCATTTCTCCAGTTTGTCCAGATCATTTTGAATTTTAATCCTATCCTCCAAAGCACTTGCAACCCCTCCCAGCTTGATATTATTCACAAATGTTATCAGTGTACTCTCTATGCCATTATCTAAATCACTGATGAAGATATTGAACAGAACCGGACCCAGAACTGATCCCTGCAGGACCCCACTCGTTATGTCCTTCCAGCTTGACTGTGAACCACTGATAACTACTCTCTGGGAATGGTTTTTCAATCAGTTATGCACCCACCTTAGAATAGCTCCATAGGCTGTATATCCCTAGTTTATTTATGAGAAGGTCATGTGAGACAGTATCAAAAGCCTTACTGAAGTCAAGATATACCACATCTACCACTTCTCCCTATCCACAAGGCTTGTTACCCTGTCAAAGAAAGCTATTAGGTTGGTTTGACACAATTTGTTCTCGACAAATCCATGTTGATTGCTACTTATCACCTTATTATATTCTAGGTGTTTGCAAATTGATTGCTTGATTATTGCTCCATTATCTTTCTGGGTACTAAAGTTAAGCTGACTGGTCTGTAATTCTCCGGGTTGTCCTTATTCCCCCTTTTTTTAAGATTGCCACTATATTTGCCCTCTTCCAGTCCTCTGGAATCTCTCCCGTCTTCCATGAGTTTTTGAAGATAGTCACTAATGGTTCAGACATCTCCTCAGTCAGCTCCTTGAGTATTCTAACAGGACTTCTCAGGACAAATTTTTTGGTGGCCTCAGAATACGGCCACCAACTCTTGCTGGTGGCCGCACTCACATTTTTTCCCTAAAATACTTAATTAGCTTTAGGGAAACCAAATAAATATGTACAAATTACAATAATTTGGATGTGTATATATTTATTGTTAGCTAGTAGGTCTATTGTGAAAAGTGATATTAACACACATACAAGTATCACTTTTCACAGCAGTCTTACTCAGCCCTGGCAAGTTTGGGGACAAATTAAGCCCTGGGGAGGAAGTGGGGGCCAGGGGAGATAGCGGGGGGCTGGAACTTGAAACCCTGCTGCATGATCCTGAAGCCTTGCGGCTGGAGGACAGGACCCAGGGATGGAGCCCGAAGCCATGTGGCCAGAGCCTGGGGTGGCCTGCCATTGTGCAGCCAGAGCCACCCCAGGGCTGAAGCCCAAAGCCTGAGCCCCACCAACCGTGGGAAGGTGGGGAACTCACTGGCTGCCTGGTCCTCCAGCATTGTGCCCCAGGTGACTCCAGAGGGGGCAGGATCCAATCCCTGCTGGTAGCCCCAGCAATCAACATCAAGGCAGTGCATCCAGGAGCAACAGGGAGGGGGAGCCCCCCACCCACCCACCCATCAC